ATGTCTATGTCCCTTACTGGTCAACAAGTTATTGTAAATAGGAGACCTGTCTCCTATTTAATAACTTGTGACCGTTCATTGGGTCTTGATTAGGCCTATTGTTTGGGCTAAGGCTGAATAGCTACTTTCAGTTAGCCTGATCAGCATGTCTATGTCCCTTACTGGTCAACAAGTTATTGTAAATAGGAGACAGGTTAAATCTGATACCTCCTTCACGGTTCAGAGAGGGTGAAAATTTTTTAACAAAAATCGCTTCCTTTACTCCCCTTTCAAACCATCTCTTTTCTGTTCCTAGGATTTTTACTTGTTCATCTTCAATTGTGAGAGAAACGAAACGTCCTTTTTTGTTTTTTTTTTTTTTTTGTTTTGTTTTTTGTTTTTTACCCACAGGTACAGATGACGACTGACAGAACCCTTTCTACGATGAGTCAGTAGAGTGCAATATTTAGGTCACCAAGTCATTGATCAAAATGTATGCTAAATTTGTCATAAATATTTAAAAGAAAAGCTAAAGTTAAAACAGCCGTTTGAGAGCCAAAAAGAGGCGGCTCTTTTCACTGAGCCGATCCAAATGAACCGGATCACCGAAAAGAGCCGAAAATCCCATCACTAATATGGGTGTGATTAGTTTGTCCTCATGTGGAGCCTGTGACTGGCTGGCGACCAGTTTAGGGGGTTTCGTCAACATTTTGACCAAAGACAACTGGGATAGGCTAAAGCACCCCCTGCGACACTGTGCTGGGTAAGCAGTGTCAAAAAGTGACATGACAAATGTTTAAGGTTACATATTAAGGTAAAGTTTCAAAATAAAATATCTTTCAGATTACAAAAAAAATCAAAAGTAAGTTGTTGTGTAATGTAAGTTATTTATTCTTTCTGTGTGGCCCCGTACCAAATGACCCACGGACCGGTACCAGTCCGCGGCCCAAGGGTTGGGAATATAGTATAGTTAGTAAATATCTGAAGAATCTCCAAATACAGAATTGAACTTGGACTCCTTGTTGGGCTGTTCATCATATCCCTGTTCAGAAAAGGTAACATTTGCAGTGTGTGTGTGTGTGTGTGTGTGTGTGTGTGTGTGTGTGTGTGTGAGTGTGTGTGCGTGCAAACGCGCGCGCATGTGAGCAAATTCGAAGCGTGTGTTCACTTGAAAAGTGCGCACACACACACGCCTCTCACAACAGAAAGCTTCGATCTGCCAACTGGATCACACCCGGAAATTCCAAACAAAAGTCCACCAGTAACAGTCGACGAAGGAACCAAAGATCCAGGACCCGAACCAACAACTGAAGAACTGACGGCACCCATGACGTACCCTCACACCACAACTTGACCCAATGCGCCGGACTTAGCATAAATGCTAACTTTCAGCCGTAGTCCCAAGGCAGGTTTCTAAAATAGCAACGTGAGGCACATAAAACTTTAAGACTACAATGACAGAATTAAAAACCAAATCGGCAAGACATGAAAGAAACAATACAAACAGTTGCAGTACTCAATCACAAGACAAAAGACCAGGACGGACAAATAAATCACTTGGAGATGATGACCGATTAGCGGTTGAGCAATGGCCCAGAGTCTGCCTCTTTTACTTCTCGTACTTTACTACAATTTAAAGGTTGAGTTTGGCTGTTTTTTCAGGGGTGCGGGAGGGCTGGAAAACGTGCTGCGCTTGTGTTTTGTGAATTAACAGAATCCTGATTTCCGTCGGCATCGAGAAGCAGAATATCTTCTCTTCTGTTTCCTGGTTATAATAATTCAATGCGACACCAAAACAGTAAATGACATGAAGCTGCTTTCCCTCTCGAGGTAACCATACAACATTCCTACCAATGAAAAGTAGAGGGTGTGCCTACCGAGATGAAAGCAGACAAATTAGTCGACAACAAGGAAGGGGGAAAAAGAAATGACAGAAAATAAGTCATTTATGAAAGCGTCCTTCCTGGGAGACGTCAGGTGTTTGGGTCAGAAATGGATCAGTTTATTTGCTATTTCTTTCTGTTGCTGTCTGTAGTGCTGGTTAATGGTGAGTCCTTGTTACATTTGTTATTTAAAGGCTTGAATGAGTCGAATTTGTATTGAAATATAAAAAGTAAGCTGTACATCAATGCCGCAAATGAAAAACAAAAATCCCTGTCAGGATATGATCGTGATCACAATTCTCCTCCTTTTTGCATGTAGCGCAGAGCATGTAGGCAGGGTTGTTGTCTCGAAAAAAAAAAGCAATTAAAAAAAAAGTGATTTCAGTGAAATGAAGCACTAAAAAGACCTTTAGTTTAAAAATATATATCACAGTGATCTGTCACATTCAACGTTTTGACGTTGAATATGTATCACGGTAAAAAGCATCCGCACTCACTTCCACCAGGAAAGTGAAAGTGAAAGGCAAAGCCTCCGAGACATGAATTGACACTTGAGTTGGACTTGACCTAAATTGAGGAAAAAGAAAAAAAAAAAAAACATAACCACGCTTTGTTTGTGGTTGTTACTGTGGCATAATTCATCTTCTTCATCTTGAAACAAATAAATAAAGACTCATTTCTTCTCTGACGGTACGAACAGAGCTGTTCGGTCATGTCGAGACACACTCTGGCAGCTGTGAGCAAAGAGTGCTCACAGCTGATTCTCAACCACGACAAATTGTGCATCCATGTCCTTTTATAGACCGTCGACAAAAAAAAAAAACACAGTGAGGATCATAGATGCAAATTTGTTCAATTTGTCCCCCCCCCCCTTCAACAATGGATACTACCGGTCAGGGGCGTGGGTCTGTTGTTTTGTTCTTACAAAGGAATGACCAATCTAAAGCGTCAAAAATGACTTGCTGTCTTTGACGATGTCACGTTAATGGCGCAACAAACGTGCAGTTTTTTCCTCTCTTTTCCTGACAAGAAATGAAAAGACACACTTGTTCTGCACATGCCACGTCCCCGCTACGGCTAGACAGACTAATAACTCATTCAATGGCCACACCTATCAATGTTTCTTGCCATTTATTCGCCGTAGAGGCGAGTCAAGAAGGTGTAAAACTGGAACACAAACAGAAAAACACTTGCATGCTTTTGCAAAATAAAACGTGGAAAAACAATGTGCCCCACTCGTCTGGTCCATGAGTGCACTCGTATTGCTAACGTTCGCGAGCTAATGTGCTAATCCTGATCGCAAATGCTAACCACAAACAATTGCAACGTATTTTCAATGTAAATTCACGGTAAACACACCCACTGATGAATAATATCGCATAAATTTACAAAAGACATTCTATACAAGGTGTGTTTGGCTTAGAACACGAAGTTTCAGTATGTCTTTCAAGGCGTCAAAGTTAAACAGGAAGTGACTCACGCAACAACATCCGGTGTGCCTTTCACAAGAACTAATTGACCTTACAAAATAAAGCAGGTCTGTAACTGGAGAAACAGAACGCAAATGTTACATGGCTCTTCAGGAGCCAGAATACACACTGATGTGTTTGTATGTTGTTTCATGAGGTAAACGATGTCCTTTTCACTTTCTTTTCTTTTTCTTTTTTTTAAACAGCGCAATTCACCGGAGATGTTCCAGGTAACATCCACTACTGCAGGAGTGTCAAAGTCCTTTTTGTCACGGGTCACTTTGGGGTCTTCCCTCGGACGACTTAATGTTTAATCATCACATGTCATTATTACTTGTGCACATCATATTGAGGGATTGATAGTTTTGAAATCACTCGTCAATTATTTGTTTGTTCTTTGTTCGATTCTTGTTCAAGCAAGTGTAAACAGGGTCACAGAATTATTGTGAAATCTCACGTTATTTATTACACTTAACAAATAGACATTTCGGGGAAGATTTGAGCAAGGATTCTGGAAGTTGACACACATGATTTGCTTTCGCGGGCCACGTAAAATGACGTTACCTGTGCCAGAGCCTTCAGTTTGATAAACGTGTACGATTGCATTCAGGTACTGTATGCAGCATGTATGTTTCGGAAAATAAAAACCGTATATAGTCAAGATTTATTAAATTACATTTTATTTATTATGAGTCTGATTGAAAGAAAAAAAAATTGCTTCTAGCACCTGAAAATTACAATGCTTTACATATTGTACACCAAAGTAATAATCTCCAAGAGAAGTTCAAACACAGAATTGCCCAGTTACGTCCACACATTATCCAAAAATCTTTTTTTTTTTTACAAATTATTTTTCATGCCAAATGCACGTTTTTTTATATATATATAATTCAAATGGAATAAATCACGTTTTTGCTCTTTATTTACTTTTCAGGGAACGACGAAACAGGTAACCTCCCAGTGTTGTCCATTCACAAATTAAAATGGAATAAATAACATGTCTTTTTTTCTTGTTTTTGCTTTTAAGATACTACTGCCAGCAGTCAAGGTAACAAGCTACACGCGCACATGGCGCATTGTACCCCAGAAATATGATCAACAAGGAAAGCTCAAACACTCAAGTGCCGAACGGCGTCCAACCAAGTCTAAAGCAAATGTGTTTAAAGACCTTTCGTCGAATGTTGTTGTTTTCTACAGTATAACCTTGCAATACAAGCAATTTATCAGATGGCCACCAGCTAATACCCATTTCACAACACATGATTCCGTAGCCACCGCCATTTAAAAAATATGCACAAAACGCCAGATTTGTAGGGAAGATGGCACTGTCCATTCATGAATTCAAATGGAATAGATAGCCTGTTTTTGCTTTTTAAATACATTTTAAGTGACAACGAAACAGGTAACTTCCCAGTGTTGTCCATTCACAAATTAAAATGGTAACAAATAATATGTCTTTTTTTCTTTTAATTTACATTTCAGGCGGCATTAGCAGAGGTAACTTCCCACACGGATGCTCTCCACTTTATACACCACAACAATGATCACCAGGGGAAGCTCAAAAAAATCAAGGGAACCACCTGCGTCCTGCCAAGTCTTCAGCAAATATGTTTGAAGATCTTAAATAGAATGCTGTTATTTTTGCAGCAGATCTTACCGATAATTTTAGCCGGGCTACGGTCTTACTAGAGTATAAGGTTGCATGATGAGAAGTTAATCAGAAGGCAACCAGCTCATATCCAACTCAAAACTTTGCACACTATTCCATCACCACAGTGAGTGAAAAAACATTTTTGAGCAACTTTCTAATGTGGAGATGAGGTAATAATGTACACTCATGAATTCAAATGCAATAAATAATCTGTTTTTTCTCTTTTCTTTGCTTTTTAGATACTACTGCCATCAGTCGAGGTAACCGTCTACACGTGCACGTGGTCCATTGTATTCCACAACATTGATTTGCAAAGGAAGCTCAAATGCTCGACGGCCTCCAACCAAGTTTAAAGCAACATGTTCTCTTTTCTTTGCTTTTAAGATACGACTGCCAGCAGCCAAGGTGACCTTCTACACGTACACGTGGCATGTTGTATTCCAGAACAATGATTGACAAGGGAAGCTGAAACACTCAAGTGCCAAACAGTGTCCAAGAAAATCTTCAGCAAATTTGCCAAAATTTTCAGATACTCCATTGTTATTTTTGCCTTATATCTCACTGATCATTTTACCCATGCAACGGTTTCACTACAGTGTAAGGTTGCGTTATTAGCAGTTCATCAGAAAGCCACCAGCAAAATATCCGCTTCACAACCTGTCACATGATCCCATCGCCACAGCTGTTTAAAAAATATTCAACAAACATTTAATTTCGAGTGAAGATAACACTGTCCGCTTATGACTTAAAATGAAATAAATAACATGTTTTTGCTCTATATTTACTTTTCAGGTGACAACGAAACAGGTAACTTCACAGTGTTGTCCATTGAGAAATTAAAATGGAATAAACACATTTTTTATTTTCTTTGCTTTTAAGATACTCCTGCCAGCACTCAAGGTAACCTACCACACATACACATGGCACATTTCATTCCAGAACATTGCGCGACAATAGAAGCTGAAACACTCAAATGCCCAACTGTGTCCAACCAAGTCGAAAGCAAACATGTTAAAAGATCTTACAAATATTTTTGTTCTATTTACATCATATCTTACTCTTAATTTCATCTGGGCAACAATTTTACGACAGTATAAGGTTGCAAAACAAGCAGTTTATCAGACGGCCACACGCTAATATCCACTTCACAACCTGACACATGATCGTGTAGCGACAGCCGTTTAAAAAGTTTTCACCAAACACCTTATTTAAAATGACGATAACGCTCTCTATTCATGACTTAAAATGGAAAAAGAATTACGTTTTTTTTCTCTTAATTTACATTTCAGGCGGCATCAGCGGAGGTAACTTCCCACACGGATGCTCTGCACTTTATACACCGCAACAATGACCACCAAGGGAAGCTCAAAACAACCAAGGGCCCAAATGCATCCAACAAAGTCTTCGGCATATATGTTGAAATATCTTATGGAAAATGTTGGTTTTTTTTGCATCATATCTTACCGATAATTCGAGCTGAGCAACGGTTTTGCTCCAGTATAAGGTTGCATTGTGAGCAGTTTATCAGAAGGCTTACAGCTCATATCCAGCTCATAACTTGGCACATTATACCATCACCACAGTGACTGAAAAAACACTTTTGACCAACTGCCTAAGGTAATAATGTACTCTCATGAATTCAAATGGAATAAATAACCTGTTTTTTTTCTTGTCTTTGCTTTTAAGATACGACTGCCAGCAGTCGAGGTAACAGCCTACACGGGCACATGGCGTATTGTATTCCACAACATTGATCTGCAAAGGAAGCTGAAACCCTCGAATGCCCAACTGCCTCCAACCAAGTCTAAAGCAACATGTTCTCTTTTCTTTGCTTTTAAGATACGACTGCCAGCAGTCGAGGTAACAGCCTACACGGGCACATGGCGTATTGTATTCCACAACATTGATCTGCAAAGGAAGCTGAAACCCTCGAATGCCCAACTGCCTCCAACCAAGTCTAAAGCAACATGTTCTCTTTTCTTTGCTTTTAAGATACGACTGCCAGCAGTCGAGGTAACAGCCTACACGGGCACATGGCGTATTGTATTCCACAACATTGATCTGCAAAGGAAGCTGAAACCCTCGAATGCCCAACTGCCTCCAACCAAGTCTAAAGCAACATGTTCTCTTTTCTTTGCTTTTAAGATACGACTGCCAGCAGTCGAGGTAACAGCCTACACGGGCACATGGCGTATTGTATTCCACAACATTGATCTGCAAAGGAAGCTGAAACCCTCGAATGCCCAACTGCCTCCAACCAAGTCTAAAGCAACATGTTCTCTTTTCTTTGCTTTTAAGATACGACTGCCAGCAGTCGAGGTAACAGCCTACACGGGCACATGGCGTATTGTATTCCACAACATTGATCTGCAAAGGAAGCTGAAACCCTCGAATGCCCAACTGCCTCCAACCAAGTCTAAAGCAACATGTTCTCTTTTCTTTGCTTTTAAGATACGACTGCCAGCAGTCGAGGTAACAGCCTACACGGGCACATGGCGTATTGTATTCCACAACATTGATCTGCAAAGGAAGCTGAAACCCTCGAATGCCCAACTGCCTCCAACCAAGTCTAAAGCAACATGTTCTCTTTTCTTTGCTTTTAAGATACGACTGCCAGCAGCCAAGGTAAACATCCACACGTACACGTGGCATGTTGTATTCCAGAACAATGATTGACAAGGGAAGCTGAAACACTCAAGTGCCAAACAGTGTCCAAGAAAATCTTCAGCAAATTTGCCAAAATTTTCAGATACTCCATTGTTATTTTTGCCTTATATCTCACTGATCATTTTACCCATGCAACGGTTTCACTACAGTGTAAGGTTGCGTTATTAGCAGTTCATCAGAAAGCCACCAGCAAAATATCCGCTTCACAACCTGTCACATGATCCCATCGCCACAGCTGTTTAAAAAATATTCACCAAACGTTTAATTTCGAGTGAAGATAACACTGTCCGCTCATGACTTAAAATGAAATATATAACATGTTTTTGCTCTATATTTACCTTTCAGGTGACAACGAAACAGGTAACTTCACAGTGTTGTCCATTCAGAAATTAAAATGGAATAAATACATTTTTTATTTTTTATTCTCTTTGCTTTTAAGATACTACTGCCAGCAGCCAAGGTAACCTTCCACACGTACACGTGGCACATTGTATTCCAGAAGTTCCAAGTTAATCAGAAGTTCTACCAGCTCATATCCAACTCAAGACTTTGCACACTATTCCATCACCACAGTGACTGAAAAAACATTTTTAAGCAACTTCCTAATGTGGAGATGAGTTAATAATGTACACTCATGAATTCAAATGGAATAAATAACATGTTTTTTTTTCTTTTTAGAGACTACTGCCATCAGTCGAGGTAACCGTCTACACGTGCACGTGGCGCATTTTATTCCATAACATTGATCTGCAAAGGAAGCTGAAACCCTCAAATGCCCAACTGCCTCCAACCAAGTCTTGAGCAAATGCATTTTAAGATCTTATGTAGAATGTTGTTATTTTTGCATCAGATCTTACCGATAATTTTAGCTGGGCTACGGTCTTCCGACAGTTTCAGGTTGCATGATGAGAAGTTATTCAGAGGGCTACCAGCTCATATCCAACTCAAAACTTTGCACACTATTCCATCACCACAGTGACTGAAAAGACATTTTTTGAGCAACTGTCTAATGTGGAGACGAGGTAATAATGTACACACATGAATTAAAATGGAATAAATAACATTTTTTTTTCTTTTCTTTGCTTTTTAGATACTACTGCCAGCAGTCGAGGTAACAGCCTACACGGGCACATGGCGTATTGTATTCCACAACATTGATCTGCAAAGGAAGCTGAAACCCTCGAATACCCAACTGCCTCCAACCAAGTTTAAAGCAACATGTTCTCTTTTCTTTGCTTTTAAGATACGACTGCCAGCAGCCCAGGTAACCGTCTACACGTACACGTAGCACATTGTATTCCAGAACAATGATCGACAAGGGAAGCTCAAACACTCAAATGCCCAACTTCATCCAACCAAGTCTAAAGCAATACGTTTGAAGATCTTACAAACAGCCAATATCCAACTCACAAACTGGCACGCGATCCCGATTTTTTTTTTTCTGTCAGCAGCCAAGGTAACTTTCTACTTTTTTTTGTGGCACATTGTATTCCACAACATTCTTCTGCAAAGGAAGCTCAAACACTCAAAGGCCTAACTGCATCCAACCAAGTCTAAGGCAATATGTTGAAAGATCTAACAGAGAGTTTTGCATCACATCTTCCTGATCATTTTAGCCAGGCAATAGTTTTCCGACAATATAAGGTTGCAGTTTATCAGATTGCCACCAGCCAAGATCGACTTCACAACCTGTCACATGATCCAATAGCCACAGCCGTTTAAAAAGTATTCACCAAACGCCTTCTTTGAAGTGACAACAACACTGTCCATTCATGACTTAAAATGGGATAAATAACATGTTTTTCTCTTAATTTACATTTCAGGCGATGACAGCACAGGTAACTTCCCAGTGTTGTCCATTCATGAATATAAAGGGAATAATTAACATATTTTTTCTCTTTTCTTTGCTTTTAAGATACTACTGTCAGCACCCAAGGTAACCTTCTACACGTACACGTGGCACATTGTATCCCAGAACATTGCCCCACAAAAGATGCTCAAACACTCAAGCGCCCAAACAGCGTCCAACCAAGTCGAAAGCAAATATGTTTCAAATTTTAGACACTCCATTGTTATTTTTGCCTGATATCTCACTGATAATTTTAGCCGAGCAACAGTTTTACTACATTATTAGGTTGCATTATTCGCAGTTTATCAGACGGCCACCAGCTAATATCCACTTCACAACCTGTCAGATGATCCCCTAGCCACAGCCGTTTAAAAAGTATACAGCAAAAACCTTCTTTGAAGTGACAAGAACACTGTCCATTCATAAATTCAAATGGAATAATTTTTTTTTTTTCTCTCTTTTCTTTGCTTTTAAGATACTCCTCCCAGCAACCAAGGTAATCGTCTTGAAGAAAACGTGGCGCATTGTATTTCGGAACAATGATCGACAAGGGAAGCTCCCTTCATGAATCAAAATGGAATAAAAATCATGTTTTTTTTCTCTTCATTTACATTTCAGACGATGACAGCACAGGTAACTTCCCAGCGTTGTCCATTCATAAATACAAATGGCAAAAATAACATTTTTTTCTCTTTTCTTTGCTTTTAAGCTACTACTGCCAGCACTCTAGGTAACAGCTGCACGTACACATGGTGCATTGTATTCCAGAACAATGATCGACAAGGGAAGCTGAAAGACTGAAACGCCCAACTGCGTCCGACCAAATATAAGTCAAATACAGTGGTTCCTCTACTTACGAACATCTCTTACAAACGAAAAATTTCAAGTTACGATACGCCTCAACAGGAAAATACTGCCTCTTGTTATGAAAACAAATTTTAAGATGTAAATATACAGTATGGGCCACTATTCGCAGCTCCGAGTTTCCTGAATGCAAAATAGTTATAGTTGTGCTGCCATAAGCAGTTTATCAGACGGCCACCAGCTAACATCCACTTCACAACCTGTCACATGATCCCATCACGACAGCCGTTTAAAAAGTATTCATCAAATGTCTAATTTGGAGTGAAGATAACACAGTCCATTTATTAATCAAAATGGAATCAATAACATGTTTTTTTTCTCTTTTCTTTTCTTTTAAGATATGACTACCAGCAGCCAAGGTAACCGTCTACACGTATACGTGGCAAATCGTATTCCAGAACAATGCTCGACAAGGGAAGCTCAAATACTCAAATGTCCAACGGCATCTGACCAATTCAAAGTCAAATACAGTGGTTCCTCTACTTACGAACGTCTCTTCATACGCAATTTTCAAGTTCGAAACACCTCAACAGGAAAATATTGCCTCTTGTTACGAAAGAAATCTCAAGTTATGAAAGGTAAAAAAAAAAATACAGTACAGGCTGCTATTCGCAGTTCCGAGTTTCCTGAACACAACATACTTATAGCTGCTCTGCCATTGGCTGACTACAGTGTAAGGTTGCGTTATTAGCAGTTCATCAGACGGCCACCAGCTCATCCCCACTTCACAACCTGGCACATGATCCCATCGCCACAGTCGTTTAAAAAGTATTCACCAAACGTTTAATTTCGAGTGAAGATAACACCATCCATTCATTAATCATAACGGAATAAAAATCATGCTTTTTTTTTCTCTTCATTTACATTTCAGGCGATGACAGCACAGGTAAGTTCCCCGTGTTGTCCATTCATGAATATAAATGGAATAAAAAGAACATAGTTTTTCTCTTTCCTTTGCTTTTAAGATACGACTGCCAGCAGCCGAGGTAACCTTCCAAACGTACACGTGGCAAATTGTGCACCAGAACAATGATCGAAGGGCAGATCAAACGCTCAAGTGCCTAACGGCGTCCAACCAAGTCTTGAGCAAATATGTTCAAAATTATAGATACTCCTTTGTTATTTTTGCCTTATATCTCACTGATCGTTTTCGCCTTATTTGAAGTGACAATAAGACTGTCCATTTATGACATGAAATGGAATACATAACATGTTTTTCTCTTCATTTACATTTCAGACGATGGCATCACAGGTAAGTTCCCAGTGTTGTCCATTCATAATTTCAAATGGAATAACTCAATGTTTTTCTGTTTTCCTTGCGTTTAAGATACTACTGTCAGCAGCCAAGGTAAATTTCCACACGTACATGTGGCACATTGTATTCCACAACATTCTTCTGGAAAGGAAGCTCAAACACTCAAAGGCCCAACTGCATCCAACCAAGTCTAAGGCAATATGTTGAAAGATCTTACAAAGAGTTTTGCATCACATCTTCCTGATCATTTTAGCCAGGCAATAATTTTCCGACAATATAAGGTTGCAGTTTATCAGATTGCCACCAGCCAAGATCGACTTCACAACCTGTCACATGATCCAATAGCCACAGCCGTTTCAAAAGTATTCACCAAACGCCTTCTTTGAAGTGACAACAACACTGTCCATTCATGACTTAAAATGGGATAAATAACATGTTTTTCTCTTAATTTACATTTCAGGCGATGACAGCACAGGTAACTTCCCAGTGTTGTCCATTCATGAATATAAAGGGAATAAATAACATATTTTTTCTCTTTTCTTTGCTTTAAAGATACACCTGCCAGCAACCAAGGTAATCGTCTTCAAGAAAACGTGGCGCATTGTATTTCAGAACAATGATCGTTAAGGGAAGCTCCATTCGTGAATCAAAATGGAATAAAAATCATGTTTTATTTTCTCTTCATTTACATTTCAGACGATGACAGCACAGGTAACTTCCCAGCGTTGTCCATTCATAAATACAAATGGCAAAAATAACATTTTTTTCTCTTTTCTTTGCTTTTAAGCTACTACTGCCAGCACTCTAGGTAACAGCTGCACGTACACATGGTGCATTGTATTCCAGAACAATGATCGACAAGGGAAGCTCAAACACTCAAATGTCCAACGGCATCTGACCAAATCAAAGTCAAATACAGTGGTTCCTCTACTTACGAACATCTCTTACGAACGAAAATTTTCAAGTTACGATGCGCCTCAACAGGAAAATATTGCCTCTTGTTCGGAAAGAAATTTTAAGATGTAAAAATACAGTATGGGCTACTATTCGCAGCTCCGAGTTTCCTGAACGCAAAATACTGATAGTTGTGCTGCCATTGGCTATTACCGAGCATCATCCTGGCATACCATTGGCTAAGAGGGACCCGACGTATGTGTCGATGTGAGGAGAAAGATAGATCCTTAAAAACTGTGTGTTAAATATCTCATGTAGAATGTTGTTATTTTTGCATCATATCTCACTGATAATCTTCGCCAGGCAACAGTTTTACTCCAGCATAAGGTTGCATGATAAGCAGTTTATCAGATGGCCACCAGCTAACATCCACTTCACAACCTGACACATGATCCCATACCGATAGCTATTTAAAAAGTATTCACCAAACACCGTAATTGAAGTGATGATAACACTGTCCATTTATGACATAAAATGCAAGAAATAACATGTTTTTTCTTCACCAAATGCCGAATGCACAGATGATAATCGTACATTCAGAAATGAAAATGGAAGAAATAACATGTTGGTCTTTTTGCTTAATATTTCAGTGACCGGCACTGACGGTAACCTCCCACACCTTCGGTAGACTCACCTTGGTCAAAGGGCTGTCACTTGAAAAGCGCTTTTCTACCTTTGGGACTCAAATCGCTTCTCACTGTTGCCTCTTGAAAATACTGAAAACGCAGCAACAGGGGCTTCAGTATCTTTATGGAGCAAGTCATGCTTCTGTAATTTTCTTTTTTCCTTGCATTCTTCCTTTTGTCCATTGGATGTTTTTTTTTTCAATTTTTAAAATATATAAGCCAAACTTTTTTCTTTTTGACACAGTTCTTTGTACACACTATATTACTCATTATTACTCCCATATATGACCTACTGTGTAGAAATATGGGGGAGCGCCTGTAAATCAAACACACTGCCTGTCTTAAAACTACAAAAAAAAGCAATCAGAATAATCAATAGGTCCAAATATATAGAACCCACAAATCCGCTATTCATCAAATTAAACACAATGAAATTCTATGACCTGGTTAACTTCAAAATCGCCCAATTAATGTATAAAGCACATCACAATCTCCTTTGCCAAAATATCCAGAAGCATTTTGAAATTAGAGATAGTTGTTATAATCTAAGAGGTATCAATCAATATAAAAAATCCAGAACAAGAACAAACATCAAGCAAAGGTGTGTATCAGTAATAGGAGTCAATCTGTGGAATAAGCTTGAAACGGATCTGAAAATAAGTAAATCGCTGGACGAGTTTAAAAACAAATTTAAAAGATTAGTACAAACAAACTACAAAAATCAAAGTTAAGAAGATAAATTCGACATACTTATAAAATATAGTAATATAACGGTCTGTTCTTGTTTTGGATTTTGATCAACCCATTAAATGTATTCAAGAAATGCAGTATTTATAATGAATATGAGACAATTGATACAAAAAAATGAATGAATAATTATATACATGTATATATGTAGGTGTGTGTATGGGTATATGTGTGTCTATATATGTATATATTATATATGTATGTGTGTGTGTGTGTATGTGTATGTATGCACATGTACGTGTATGTATGTATATATATATATATATATATTTTTATATATATATATATATATATATATATATGTATATATATATATGTATGTATATATGTATGTATATGCAAACAGAAGGGTGTATAAATAGATAAGTACAGTACACATAAGGGTAAAAGTACTTGATGAGAGGTAGATCTCTTCCTTTTCTTTTGCATTGAAAAATGATCTATTTATATTATCACACAACAAGGGGTAGGACTAGATAAGTTGTATACTTCTTCCTACTCCTTTGAGCATATAACGGTGATGATGTTTGTTTTATTTACTTTTATTTTTATTTTTCCTTCTGTAATTTTGCTTGCCTTTTGTCAATTGTTGTTGTATTTTATGTTCAATAAAAAATTAACTAACTAACTAACTAACTAACTAACTAACATTTACACATTTTTTGACCGACTCCAACGTTAAACTGTCCATCCTATTCCTACCATTGTTGGGGTTTTTTTTTCCAAATTCAAATTCTAAATCCAGAAATGTGTATTTTTTTGTCATTCCCTGCTTTCTACATTGTTCAACCGATTCAAAATATTCAACTTTGACATTTTCTGCTCATTCTACGCCATTGCATATTATTCTAGGTCATTGAATATCATTCCAAATTTTGCCACAATTTTTCCTCCGCCATCTCAGTCTTCACACGTCATTGTTCCAAGTTGCATTCTTCGATGTTTACTCCATGTTTTAATACAAAATTCTAGAGAGTTCTATTCGTCATAAAAAACACATTATAAAAATGTTTTGGTGGGGGTCGGGGGGATTTGGCCCCTATATTTACGGTGTGATTGACTAGTGATCAGTCCAGAGCGTACCCCACCTCTTGCCCAAAGTCAGTTGGAACAGGGTCCAGTTGACCTGCAATCCTAATGATTATAAGCAGTCAAGATCATGTTTGGATGAAGATTAAAAGGTCATAACTTTGTTCTCTCCCCCCTCTCAGCATGTGTGGATGCCACAGTGGCTGATGTGGTCTTCTTGGTGGACAGTTCGGGCAGCATTGGCAGTACCGATTTCCAGGAGGTCCGACGGTTTCTCCGGACCGTGGTGTCCGGTTTGAACATCGGTCCTGACAATGTCCGCGTGGGTTTGGCACAATACAACCAAGACCCTGTTCTAGAGTTCTCGTTGCTAGAACACACGAATAAGGACTCTCTGCTGGCCGAACTGGGTAACCTCCCCTTCAGGGGGGGATCTACAGACACAGGCGAGGCCCTTGACTTCATCCGGACGCAGCTGTTCAACGAAAGTGCAGGAAGCCGAGCGAAACAGGGTGTCCCTCAGATCGCCGTAGTCATTACAGATGGAGTCTCCACAGACGACGTAGTTCAGCCTGCTCTGCGCCTCAGACAACACGAGGTCACCGTCTTCGCTATCGGAGTGGGACTCGTCAATGTGACCGAGCTGGATGCCATCGCTAACCAACCGTCTGAGGACTTCCGATTCTTGATCGACAACTTCCAATCTCTTCAGAACGTGAGCGAGGTTGTCCTGGAAAACATATGCGAATCCATTAACGACCAGTTGCCAGGTGAGTCACGGAAGCACAGACAGGGGCTTCTGGGTAAAGGTTTCCTGGTTACGAATGGCGTCCAATTAACTGGTTTGCTGGGTGGCGTCGGATTACGTGAATAGAAAGCTCGTTGACAGGGGTATTACGAAAAGTTATCTGAATCAGCCCGCCAGGCTTTCCTTGAACCCGCCAGGCAAAGCGGGATGCACATTCCCGGTTCGCTACCTCGCCAATTACAAAGTGAAAATTTGATCTTGAATTCGCCATTACAACAATATTGCGGTAATCAACACCCATATCACGTTTTATTTTCAGTATCCTTTGCCCTAGCACCCACTCATTCTCCATAAGCCACAGTGATTGTAACTTTGAAAATTAAAATGGAATTAATCACGTTTTTGCTCTTTATTAACATTTCAGGCGACAGCAATACGGGTAACTTCCCAGTGTTGTCCATTCATTCATTCAAATGGAATAAAAGTGACCAACGGCGTCCAACCAAGTGTAAAGCAGAAGTGTTTCAAGATCTTCTGTAAAATGTTATTTTCGCATCATATCGGGCAACCTGTCACATGATCCCGTAGCCACAGCCGTTGAAAAAGTATTCACCAAACTTTTAATTTGGGGTGAAGATAACACTGTCCATTCATAAATTAAAATTGAATCAATAACATGTTTTTTTTCTTCATTTACATTTCAGATGATGACAGTACAGGTATGTTCCCAGCTTTGTCCATTCATAAATTCAAATGGAATAATTTTTTTTTTTCTCTTTGCTTTTAAGATACTACTGCCAGCAGCCAAGGTAACTGTCCACACGTACACATGGCGCATTGCACCCCAGAACAATAATTGACAAGAGGAGCTCAAACGCTCAAGTGTCTAACAGCATCCAATCAAGTCTTCAGCAAATGTTAAAAATTTTAGACACTCCATTGTTATTTTTGCCTGATATCCGACTGATAATTTTCACCGAGCAACGGTTTTACTACACTGTAGTAACTGGAGTATTAAGTTGCATTATTAGCAGTTCATCAGACGGCCACCAGCTCGTATCTACTTCACAACCTGTCACATGATCCCATCACGACAGCCGTTTAAAAAGTATTCATCAAATGTCTAATTTGGAGTGAAGATAACACAGTCCATTTATTAATCAAAATGGAATCAATAACATGTTTTTTTTCTCTTTTCTTTTCTTTTAAGATACGACTACCAGCAGCCGAGGTAACCTTCCAAACGTACACGTGGCAAATTGTGCACCAGAACAATGATCAAACGCTCAAGTGCCTAACGGCGTCCAACCAAGTCTTGAGCAAATATGTTCAAAATTATAGATACTCCTTTGTTATTTTTGCCTTATATCTCACTGATCGTCTTAGCCTTATTTGAAGTGACGATAACACTGTCCATTTATGACATGAAATGGAATAAATAACATGTTTTTCTTTTCATTTACATTTCAGACGATGGCATCACAGGTAAGTTCCCAGTGTTGTCCATTCATAATTTCAAATGGAATAACTCAATGTTTTTCTGTTTTCCTTGCGTTTAAGATACTACTGTCAGCAGCCAAGGTAAATTTCCACACGTACATGTGGCACATTGTATTCCACAACATTGATCTGCAAAGGAAGCTGAAACCCTCGAATACCCAACTGCCTCCAACCAAGTTTAAAGCAACATGTTCTCTTTTCTTTGCTTTTAAGATACGACTGCCAGCAGCCCAGGTAACCGTCTACACGTACACGTAGCACATTGTATTCCAGAACAATGATCGACAAGGGAAGCTCAAACACTCAAATGCCCAACTTCATCCAACCAAGTCTAAAGCAATACGTTTGAAGATCTTACAAACAGCTAATATCCAACTCACAAACTGGCATGTGATCACTTGGCCACAACCGTTTGAAAAGTATTCACCAAATGCCTAGCTTGGAGCGAAGATAACACTGTCCATTCTTTCATTAAAATTGAATTAAAAACTTTTTTTTCATTCTTCATTTACATTTCAGACGATGGCGTCACAGGTAAGTTCCCAGTGTTGTCCATTCATAATTTCAAATGGAATAACTCAATGTTTTTCTGTTTTCCTTGCGTTTAAGATACTACTGTCAGCAGCCAAGGTAAATTTCCACACGTACATGTGGCACATTGTATTCCACAACATTCTTCTGCAAAGGAAGCTCAAACACTCAAAGGCCCAACTGCATCCATCCAAGTCTAAGGCAATATGTTGAAAGATCTAACAGAGAGTTTTGCATCACATCTTCCTGATCATTTTAGCCAGGCAATAATTTTCCGACAATATAAGGTTGCAGTTTATCAGATTGCCACCAGCCAAGATCGACTTCACAACCTGTCACATGATCCAATAGCCACAGCCGTTTCAAAAGTATTCACCAAACGCCTTCTTTGAAGTGACAACAACACTGTCCATTCATGACTTAAAATGGGATAAATAACATGTTTTTCTCTTAATTTACATTTCAGGCGATGACAGCACAGGTAACTTCCCAGTGTTGTCCATTCATGAATATAAAGGGAATAAATAACATATTTTTTCTCTTTTCTTTGCTTTTAAGCTACTACTGCCAGCAGCCAAGGTAACCGTCTACACGTACACGTGGCGCATTGTATCCCAGAACATTGCCCCACAAAGGACGCTCAAACACTCAAGTGCCTAATAGCGTCCAACCAAGTCTTCAGCAAATATGTTACAAATTTTAGACACTCCATTGTTATTTTTGCCTTATTTCAGTGAACGGCACTGAAGGTAACCTCCCACACCTTCGGTAGACTCACCTTGGTCAAAGGGCTGTCACTTGAAAAGCGCTTTTCTACCTTTGGGACTCAAATCGCTTCGCACTGTTGCCTCATTTACATACAATTCAAATCCACAAATGTGTATTTTTTGCCATTCCCTGCTTTCAAAATATTCAACGTTGACATTTTCTGCTCATTCCAGGCCATTGCATATTAATCTAGGTCATTGAATATCATTCCAAATTTTGCCACAATTTTTCCTCCGCCATCTCAGTCTTCACACGTCATTTTTCCAAGTTGCATTCTCTCGTTAGATGTTTTAGTCCATGTTTTAATACAACATTATAGAGAGTTCTATTCTTTATCAAAAACACATGATAAAAATGTTTTGGTGGGCTTGCCCCTGCCGGGGGGGTTGCCCCTATATTTACGGTGTGATTGACTAGTGATCAGTCCAGAGCGTACCCCACCTCTTGCCCAAAGTCAGTTGGAACAGGGTCCAGTTGACCTGCAATCCTAATGATTATAAGCAGTCAAGATCATGTTTGGATGAAGATTAAAAGGTCATAACTTTGTTCTCTCCCCCCTCTCAGCATGTGTGAATGCCACAGTGGCTGATGTGGTCTTCTTGGTGGACAGTTCGGGCAGCATTGGCAGTACCGATTTCCAGGAGGTCCGACGGTTTCTCCGGACCGTGGTGTCCGAATTCGACATCGGTCCTGACAATGTCCGTGTGGGTTTGGCACAATGCAACCAAGACCCCTTTCTCGAGTTCTCGTTGATGGAACACTTGGATAAGGACTCTCTGCTGGCCGAACTGGATAACCTCCCCTTCAGGGGGGGATGTACGGAGACAGGCGAGGCCATCGACTTCATCCGGACGCAGCTGTTCAACGAAAGTGCAGGAAGCCGAGCGAGTCAGGGGGTGTCTCAGATCGCCGTGGTCATCACAGACGGAGTCTCCGGCGACGACGTAGTTCAGCCTGCTCTGCGCCTCAGACAACACAGCGTCACCGTCTTCGCTATCGGAGTGGGAGGAGGAGCCAATGTGACCGAGCTGGATGCCATCGCTAACCAACCATCTGAGGACTTCCGATTCTTGATCGACAACTTCCAATCTCTTCAGAGCGTGAGCGAGGTTGTCCTGGAAAACATATGCGAATCTATTACTAACCACATCCAAGGTGAGTCACGGAAGCACATAGAGAGGCTCCTCGTAAAGTTTCCTGGTTACGAATGTCGTACAATTAACTGGTTTGCTGGGTGACGTCGAATTACGTGAATAGAAAGCTCGTTGACAGGGGTATTCCGAAAATGTATCCGAATCAGTCCACCAGGCTTTCCTTGAACCCGCCAGGCAAAGCGGGATGCGCATTCCCCTTTCGCTACCTCGCCAATGACGAAAATGTGACGTTGAATATCGCAATTGCAAAGATATTGCGGTAATCAACACCCATGTCACGTTTTATTTTCAATGTCGTTCGCCCTAGCACCCACTCATTCTCCATAAGCCACAGTGATTGTAACCCTAATGAGAATAAGCAGTCAAGATCATGTATAGATGAATATTCAAAGGTCCGACTTTTGTTCTCTCCCCCCTCTCAGCATGTGTGAATGCCACAGTAGCTGATGTGGTCTTCTTGGTGGACGGTTCGCGCAGCATTGGCAGTGCCAATTTCCAGGAGGTCCGAGAGTTTCTCCGGACCGTGGTGTCTGGTTTCGACATCGGTCCAGACAATATCCGCGTGGCTTTGGTACAATACAGCACCAACCCTTTTCTGGAGTTCTTGTTGCTAGAACACATGGATAAGAACTCTCTGCTGGTCGAACTGGATAACCTCCCCTACCGGTTGGGAGGTACACAGACAGGCGAGGCCATCGACTTCATCCGGACGCAGCTGTTTAACGAAAACGCAGGAAGCCGAGCGAGCAAGGGGGTGCCTCAGATCGCCGTGGTCATCACAGACGGAGACTCCCAAGACGACGTAGTTCAGCCTGCTCTGCGCCTCAGAGAACACGGGGTCACCGTCTTTGCGATCGGAGTGGGAGGAGCCAATGTGATTGAGCTGGAGGCCATTGCGAACCAACCGTCTGAGGACTTCCGATTCTTGATCAACAACTTCCAATCTCTTCAGAGACTGCGCGAGGTTGTCCTGGAAACCATATGCGAATCTATTACCAACCCCATCCCAGGTGAGTCACAGAAGCACAGACAGGGGCTTCTGGGTAAAGGTTTCCTGGTTACGAATGGCGTACAATATATAAATATATAATAAATAACATGTTTTCTGTTTTATTTGCTTTTCAGTTACTGGCCCACCAGGTAAGCCCACACACCCAATGTGTACTTTCCATATTGTACACCAGAAAAATGATCTCCAAGGAAAACTCAAACATGCAAGCCCCCAACTGCATCTGCACATTATCCACCGCCACCGTCTTTTCACGATAATTGACCAAATGCCAAATGTATAGATAAGGTGATACTGTACATTCAAAAATTTAAATAACTGAACAAATAACAAATTTTCTTGCGTTTAATCAATCTGTCAGGCTCTCCAAGCCCAGTAGGTAACTTGCGATGAGTCAAAATGGCTTGATGGTTTACCGTGGTTTAAAAAGTCAAGGTTTCAATAACCGCTGAAACATTCCGTCACTGCTAATGAGCTTTTTTAAAGCTTTTTTTTTTTTTTTTTTCCGAGGGGACTTACAAGCAGGGCACAATATGATGGTTGCTTACAGATAGTGCTAAATACGAAGCTCATGATATGAATCTAGCGTCTTTTTTTCCCCTCTGCTCAGTTGAGCAGAGAGGGGAGGGGTGAGCAGTTACACACAAGAGGTGGGAGGAGAGGAGGATACCTATATGGTGACGTTTTGCTATGTTAATTAATGGGCATTGTCCTAAAAAAAAAAAAAAAAAACCCAACAAAAATCCCATGGTGGCAGAAGGTGCTACTTTGCTCCCAGGACAACATGAGTTGAGTAGGGTTATGGGGTCTGTTCTAAAAAAAAAAAAAAAAAAAGATCACCAGTGAGCGGACACTGTGATTTAAGAGCAATAATGAAAACAAATGAAGGATAAATGTTTTGTTTTGTTTGATTATATTTTTTACATAAATGTTTGTGTTGTACAATTTTGACTACTACCACTCAGATACAAAATAATATAGTTTTTGTCTTTTGTTGGTAGATGATGAAGACGATCTCATGATTCAAGGAAGAGGTACTTCCTCACACACACACACACACACACACACACACACACACACACACACACACACACACACACACACACGCACACACACGCAGGCATTGTACTGGCAACTGCAGGAAGCAAATCCGCTTACTCACCATCAAAAACAGAGAGCAATGTTATGTCTTCACCAGTAGAGGCCAGCAAATCACCATCTCCAAATGGTGGCGATTCCTGTTGTACTGTGAGAAAAATACTGTGAAAAGTCTCCCAACAGGAAGGTACACAAACCTAAAAGTGTCGAGAATAGATGTTATTCCACTTGCTGCTATTATTACAGGTAGTTGGGACAATACTTTAATAGGTTCGGTGTCATAATGTTGACAAAATAGCAGTTTCCAATCTATCTTCTGTTCGGGCCATTCAGTTCTGCTAGAAAGAGTTTTTCTGATTTACTTCTGAATGAATGTAGATGATTGCATATACTATTGATAAACAACATTTGTGAATCTTAGACGAATGTAATCCTGGGACATTCTTCCAGTGAAAGCTCGTACATTGTTTCCTTCAAAGGCACAAGCAAGTAGTGTATGTGCAACATAAGAGACAAGAGGAGTAGGTTGATAGTTTCAGTGACTTCTTTTTTTTTTTTCATATTTCTCAACAGTGTACCTGCATATAAAAGCTCAGGTTAATTTTACCCTGGGAGTTAATGTGACAGAAATCCTGCAACAAGTAAGTGCATGCAATACCTGACACGTGCAGCACCGAAGTACACATTCTTGCTCTCATGATAAATGTTTGCTCCCTCATAGTTCATCATTAATGCTACTCGTGAGTTCTGTGACGACTGCCAACTTGACTTTAATTCTACAACGGTGACCCTCGACCAGTCACCCTGATGGAGGTTTAACCTCTCCGCGTGCAAGAGAGGAGAAGCCCACTGTTGTTCCAGTTTGTCAATCATGGCGTGCGCTTGTATGCACAGGGATGACATTAATGCACGCTCATGTGAACCTATGACAATAAAAGAGGTCAGCACTGATTTGTTTTATTTTATTTGATGTGTAAACAATATTGAATACGGTCAGCAGTTCCTCCTCCTTACGTGTTGACCCGCACTTCTAAAAGAGGATGAGGCAATTACGTCGTAGGAAGTGGAAGCAGGTCCCCGCAGCCCCAGGGATTGCCACAACCTCACTGAGCGGATCGTTCAAATTAGACAAGCGCTGTCCGTCCTCACAAAACCTTTGACCTCGCTGATTTAATTGCATGAAGAGCATGTGCAAATGACTTCATTACTCGACCCCTTCCCCTCGATGAATCTGATGGGATCAAGCAGCCAATAAGCAGAGGTGGCAAAAGTACTTTCACATTCTACTTCGGAACTTGGGGGCAAAAATACAAACAAACAAAAAAAAAAAAAAGAAAGAAAAAAGACACCAGGGAAAACTCGTACTCATTCAACTCTTGTACTTTTTCGGGTGTCGTTTGCAAAGCAGTTCACACTGAAAATTACAATTACATTTAGCTTCATACAATGTTTAAAAATATTGTGTGAATTTTCCAGATCTTTTTTTTTTTAACTTGGAGAAATGTTAAATAGTTAAATGTATACGTTTAGTGTTTGAGGATGGTTAATGTATTCGTACACTGAAGAATCTCCAAATACAGAATTGAATTTGGACTCCAGTACTTCCCATCGTTGCTTATTGGACTGTTCATCATCTCCCTGTTCAGAAAAGGTAATATTTGGAGCGTCTGTGTGTGCGCATGCGCGCAACATGAGCAAATTAGAAGCGTGTGTTCTCTTGAAAAGTGCGCAAAACACACACACACACACACACACACACACACACACACACACACACACACACACCTCCCCCCATAATCCGGCTGTGCAATTGAAGTTAATTCTGCAGACTGTGGTTCACGTTTCGTCACCACTTTGTAAACTTAGATCATACGAGGTCAGCGCAAGGCTGAAGCAACCCTGTAGCCATGCGTCCCCCCCCCCCCCCCCACCAAAGATCAGTTACCATGTCATGGTGAAGGAATGTCGCCCAGTTTCTGGTGACTCTTGCCATTTTTTTGTTGTTGTTTTTTTTCTCAATAAGAGCCAATTTGAGTGTGGGATGTCATTGAATTTTACTCTGAAGCGATGCTGACATACATTTGCGTAAACTGACTCGCCGCAACACGACATACACTTCCAACAAAACCTGATTGACAAAGGAAAATAAGTCTTATTTTTGACACAGTTGGAGAGATATAAATCCGGCAATACTTTTTAGCACTATATTGTGGTTATAGTGTGAAACTGCATCACCAACCCGATATTCAGCTGTTTTAAATTTTTTTCCAAGACATTGGTGCCTTGAGATAGGAGTGATCAATCTTTCAAAATATGCACTGTCGTTCGACAAATTTTTGTTCCGGATTGTGACCAATCTTCAAAAAAGAGGCTTACAACTGCTTATGCCACATTCATTTGAAGCTTTCGGCTAAATTCAACATGAAACAACACATTACTTTGCCAAATGAACGTCTACTTAGCTTAATGCTAACAAGCAATGCAAAACGCCATAGACAAGCTAATGAAAAGCATCGATATTGCGACGGAATAACCCTTTAAGCGACACAAATGGTGGAGGAACATATGTAGACAGAGTATACAGCAAGACTCACAGGGATGCATTTATTATTCTTTAAGACAAATGAGACGTGATTGGTCATTACCTGAGCTCTGAGCAAAAGTGATGTCATTTTCAGCCAACAGCAAGATGATGTAAAATGGTGTTGACTTCCCTTTTAAATTGAGAATTCAGGGAAAAACGCATGTCTGAGACAAGGTCGAATAAATAAAAACATTGCATTAAGACCATAATGTGGGATGTTCTGTGAAATTAAAACTACTTTTCAGTCCTACCAACGTCACCACACATCAAGTTGAGTCTACATCTGTGTGTGTGTGTGTGCGTGTGTGTGTGTGTGTGTTATTGATCCTGATTGGGCCTCACGGGAGGAGATTCCAGCCTGCCGTTGACCCACAGTTCTCCATGTTTCCACCCTTCCCTGCGATCATCAGAGGCAGCTGTCTATTCCTGCCAGCAGGCCGGCTCGCGTGACATTTCTGATTGTTAGACGTAAGGGGGAGAGCGGGGGAGAGCGAGGGAGAGAGAGAGAGAGAGAGAGAGAGAGAGAGAGAGAGAGAGAGAGAGAGAGAGAGAGAATGAGAGAGTGAAATGTTAGTACAGGCATTTTTGCTAAATCACAAGCAGGTCTTGGCTGAAGTGGTCAGCGCTGAGGATTCTTTGGCTTGGTCACTGTCAAAACATTATCCCCTTCCCACTCTTTAGAACAGTGGTTTTCAAATAGTTGGAGGTTGGAGAATTTGCAACAAACGATCATGCCGGATGGTCTTATGAGACAAGGTATGGCTTGACTCCATCAAGTTGCCACAAGGTGGAACCAAAGCAATACTTTTAGATTGGACCATTGTTTGGCCTGAATCCCAAAAAAAAAAGAACCCCTGTTTTGGGTAAACTTGTGCTTCACAGGCTGCGCTTTTTATCCGAGTCCAACACATATTCCTCCATGATCCTTCTCTTGAAATCTACCATTGAAATCCTTCAAGAGAACATGACAAAAAAAGATGCAAACATCGATGTTGTTGGTCTCCGGGTGGTTGGATGCAGACCTGTTGTTGACGTGGTGCCCGCTGGCATCTGGACAATAGAGCAGAAGGGAGGGCCTTGTTCACGTCCAAAGCTGGGCTGAGTGTTCCTCTCAAATGAATAAAAAGGTAAGAAAGTGTCATGGAGGGAGGAGCACAAAGCCAACACAGCAGGCAGTTGCACCGAGAAGCATACTGAAAGTTTCCCTGATAAAATTCTGTTTCCTATTGAACACAGCATACCAAAAGACTTGTGAATAACTTTTGATTCTTTTGCAGGTTAAATTCCACCCCCCCCCAAAAAAAAAGAAAAAGTGAGTCTACAATCAACATTCCACTCCGACATTGTGATTCAAAGCATTTGCTGCCTTTCTTCCCATTGGAAACATTTCTTTTTCAACTCCTTTGTCCGCTTTTCTTCACTTTCAATTTGAGTGCTTGAAGGCGCATCAACTCGTGGATTGTTGTCACCTCCGGTCAAGTAGTCTACTCATTTCAAAGAGGGCCGGGGTCAAAGGTTAAGTTGTCTCCAGTGTGTTGCTGCTTGACTGACACACCACCTCAAAGCTTCCCTTGTGCACTTTTTTTTTTTTTTTTTTTTTTTAGTCATTGTATATTTAAGTTTCGCACTTCTTAAGGAAAAGAAGAATAAAAATACAAGAATGGCACTGAATGCAGTGCAATTCTAATTTCAATTAGATAATTCATTTTAAAACTCCATGGATAGCAACCTTTTGCGTATACCTTTTTTCGTCATTAAGATGGATCCAGTTTTATGCAGAAAAATTAAAGAAAAGTGATCGTGCAGTTTGGCCGATATCAGATTGGCAGTTTTTGGCCAAAATTGACCCTCATGAGGATAAGCGGTTCAAGTCAAGTTAAATTTATTTATGTAGCCCTTCATCACAAGAGTTTAATAGGGCTTCACTGGCCCTCAGTTGACAAATACTGTATGACAACATGTCCTGATCTAACCACCACCCCCTAAGAGGGCAAGCAAAACCTCAAAAAACCTTGAGAAGGGACCACAAAACCAGGAAATCCCCCTTCCAGGATGACCATGCAAATCATGATCATAAATAGATAAAATCACCTGAGAAACGAAATTGAGAAAAAAAAATGTCAACAATTAAAATGTTATTTTTTTAAAAATGATTGCATATGTTTATGTATTGTATGTATGAATGTGTGTGTGTGTGTGTGTGTGTGTTTCAAAATGAATGAACGCATTTCAAACTTTGACAATAGTTCCAAATATTATTAAGAACAATAAAAAAAAAAGCAAAAAGTGACTTGAACTTGAAGTTGCTGATTCGAACAAGTCGATGTACGACACTAAGTGTCTTAAAACAACATGTGCATTCCGTGCATGTCTTCCCACACTAGCAGACTGAATCATTTGACACATGAATGACGCTAACAGCTGCACACCTGATCCCTCAATCCTCCACATGAGAAGAAAAAAAAAAATAGCGGGAGTGATAAAAACTCACCAGGGATGTCTGCAGCCTTTTGTGGAGGTGGCTAGCGGTGTATCCCTCTT